TGGGGAGCCCCCTTTTCCCCGCCAGCCCTTGCACAACCCTGGGCTGTCCCCGTCCCACCACAGCCCCGACCCTGCAACCGGCTCCGCTCGGGACAGGAGCAAACTCCAGCAACTGGGAAAAGTTTTCCCGGAGTGGCCGCTCCCGTCTGTGCCCGGGCCGTGGTGAGGGGGGGCTGCCTCCCCCCCCGTGACTCCCTCCCACGCGCGATCCCGGCGGCAGAGGGGGGCCCGGCACCCCCCCGTCCCCTCGGGGCAGGCTCCTCTCCCGAGGGGGAGTTGAAGATGTGTCCGGGACCTGCGTGGGAGTCCGGGACACGCGGTACAGACCGGCGGCTGGCAGGGAGCCCGAGGGGGGGGTCGGCACATCCCGGGGGTTGGAGCACCCAAAGCAGCGACCCCCGGCCGGGGGGGGGTCCACGGCTCCAGAGGGGCACACGGAGCACCACGATCCCCCACCTCGGGTCCCGCAAGTGCTCGGCAGCCCCACGGGGCGCCCTGAACACGCGAGGAGCCCCCAGTCCCCCCTCCACGTGCTGCCCTGGACACGGGGGGGATCCGAGCCGGGGGGATCGGACCCGGATCGTCCCCGCCCCTCAGCCCCGGGGGTCCCGCGGCCCCCCCGCTCACCATGGCCGCTCACTGCCCGAACCGTTACGGAGCCGTCGAGGAGGAAGACGGGGGTCCCCGGGAGGACCCCCCGAGTTATACCCCGAGGGGCGGGGACAAGGGGGCGGGGACAAGGGGGCGGGGCAATAAGTACTTTTTCCCGCCCCCCGGGGTTACGTGACGCCCTGGTCACGCCCCCTCCGCCCCGCCTCGGTTCTGATTGGCAGGTTCGAATTTGGGTGGGCGGTGACGTCAGCGGAGTGGAATGTGGGGGGCGGGGGGCGGGGCTGGACTGGGAAGGGGCGTGGCCGTGTTTGAGTGGGCGGGGCGATGGGTGGGGAAAAGGTGGGGATAGAGGGGCGGGGGATTGGGGGGCTTCCGAAAGGGGGGGCGGGAGGAAATTCGGGGCAGCGGGGCCGCGGGAGCACTGGGGTGAAGGAGTTTAGGGGGGCTTTAGGGGGGTTTTGGGGAGGGGGGGCTTTGAGGTATAGGATCGGGGGGTCAGCCGGTCGTAGGAGGGGTCCCTGCACCCCGCGGCCGCGGCCGCAGGCGCCGGATCTGCCCAGAGAGCGCCCGGGCCCTGCCCGGACCGGGGGCCACGGGGGTCCGGTGGTCCCTGTCCGCGTCCCTGTCTCCATCCTGGTCCCGGACCCGTTCCCGTGGGAAGCCCCGCGGGCTCCCGCCGCGCCGGCTCCTGCGCCCGCCGCCGCCCTGTTCCCTGCCAGCCCCGGGGCTGCTCCCCGGGGGAACCCACGCGGGGCAGTTCCTGTGGGGCAGGACGGACGGGGCGGGGGGGCACCCCGCGCCCACCCCCGAGGGGCAGTGCCCTGTCCCACCCTGGGATGGGATGAGGCGGGTCCGGGTCCCGTTTCCAAGGCCAGAGAAGGGTTTGGGGACAGCACGGGGACACGGGGGTGGCTCCGAGAGAATCACAGACCTGCCCAGTCCCTGGGCACCTCGGTGTCCCCCCACTCCCTGAGCACCCCCGTGTCCCCTCACACCCCGAGCACCTCGGTTGTCCCCCCATCCCTGGGCACCCCCAATGTCTCCTCACTCCCTGGGCACCCCCAGGGTGTCCCCCGACTCCGTGGGCACGTCCTCGGGGCTGGCACCCGCCCAGGGCCGGGGTGCCCGCTGTCCCCGCGCCACCCACTCCTTGAGCCACCGATGCCACCGGAGCCCCCCGAGCCCCCACCACGTCGGTCCGTGGCCCTGCTGGCCGTGCTTTTGCTTTTGGGGGGACCGGGCAGAGCAGGCCCCCCCCCCCGGCAGCGGGGTCTTTCCCACCTCACCCACTCCCCCCGCCTCCCCCCGCTCCTTTATTCCCGGCTTTGCCGCAATGCGGAGCCGCCCCGCACGCGGGCGGTGCCGCAGCCCCCTCCCCACGGGCAGCGCGCCTACAGCCCCCCGCCCCCCACGGCAGCCCCCCCCGCGCCCTGTCCTGCCTCCTCCTGCCCCCCCAGTGACCCCCTACCCCACGCCTGAGCCTCCCTTTTTTTGTGGCTCCTGCAGCGCCCGAGGGAGCGGGAGGGGCTGCGGGGGGGGGGCACGGGGCACCCAGGCTGAGGGGTCACCGGTGACACCCCCCTGCCCTGCTCCCTCCCAGGGGGAGGGGGTCACCTGCTGCCCCCAGCACCGGGGTTGGGGGGTCCCTCGCCCTGCCCTTCGTGGAGGGGGCGCAGGCAGGGGTGGTGTCACCACCTCCGTGGGGCACCTCCTGTCCCTCCATCCCCTCAGTCCTACCCTGAGCCAGCCAGGGGGGTGGGGGGGCCCCCTCAACGTGCCAGGGCCTCATCCAGCCCCCCGGAGCAGAGCAGCACCCCCCCCGAGCTGCCCTGTCTCTCCATCTGAATGAACCTGTCACATCGATGGTGGCAGAAGACAGACAGACAGACAGACAGAGCCGAGCTCTGCGGGAAAACAGGCTAAAAATAGCAGCAGGGATGTCATCCCTGAGCCACGACACCCCTGATGGAGCTGGGACCCCCCAGCCCCTGAGGACAGTGTGTCCTGGTCGTGGGGTTCGAGGTCACCAGTTTGGGACCCTCAGGAAGGGCCTGAACTGGGGGAGGCTGGGAATGTTGGCTGTGCCACGGGCAGGAGTCCAGCAGCTGGGAAATCAGCCCAAACGTGAGGAGACGCTGGCTCTGGGAGCCCGGGGGGGGCAGCCACGGGGGCTCTGTGCAGACAGGGGGGGGCCCCGATGTGACCAAGGGCCTGTTGGTGATGTGGGGGGGTGGATATGGGGGGGGAGGGGGACGGACAGACACCGTCACCAGGAGCCACCGCGTTGCTACCAACAGTCAACAGAGCACGGGAGGATGGGAAGGACCTGGGGGGGGAGGGAGGGGGGCTGGGAGCTGGGCCAGACCCCTCCACACCAGCACACGTTGGGCTGGATAGCGGGGGTGTCCCCCATGTCAGGGTGCAGTGGGGTGGGCACTGGGGCCCCCCCGGGGTTCATGTGCCCCCCTCAGCACAGCAGAGGGATCAGGCACTGGGGGGGGGCCCGGGGGTGGTGCCCCCCCATCACAACTAGGCCAGGCAGTGGTGGGACCCCAGCCCCGTGTCCCGGCACACCCCAGTGCCAGGCCCCAGGGTGGATGCTGGGGAAGGGGGAGGCAAGGGGGGGTCCCAGCCTGTCTCCTGGCAACCGGTCTCCTGGCAACCCCGCCAGTTGCCTGGCAGCGCTTGGTGTGGGGCCGTGGGGCCTTCCATACCCGAGGAGATGGGAGGGGGCTGGGGGGCACCAGTGGGACCCCAGCACCCCAAATCACCCAGGGGGGCTGAGTCACTGCCCCGGTGGCACCCCCTGCCCACAGCCTGGGGGGGTGGGATGTGTGGGGACCCTCCTTAGCTTGGAGAGGGGTCCCCGAGGTGGGGGCTGCTGTGAGCCCCCAAAACCTCCAGCCTTGGGGTCACTTGGGACACCCCGGGTGTGCCCTGCCAGGCCCCACACCGGTGCTGAGAGCCCGGGGGACAAAGGCGGGAGGTTTTTCCCACGCAGGAGAGGATCCACAGTGGGGTCAGGGCTGGGGGATGAGCTGCTTCTGGCAAAGGTCCCCCAAAACACCCGTTTGCCTCAGGGACCAGCCCGGGGAAAGACAAATCTCTCAGTTTTCCTCCGCTCGGAGCAGCCGGGGCCGCCCAGTCCTTTGTTCTGGTGGGCGATGCCCAAATCCCAGCCCTTCTTTGTCTGCAGCCCTGCAGCCCCAGCAGCACCCCAAAAACACGGGACGGGCAGGGATGTGGGGCTGGCAGTGGGGGCATGGGGCTGGCAGGGGGAACGCGGGGCTGGCAGGGGGAACGTGGGAACCTGGAGCTGCACAGAAATCTGCATAACGTGGGAAACGCACAAAAAAAGAAGTGATTTCTCGGCAGGGAGGGGGTGTCCTGGCAGCTCCTCCTGCAGCAGCTGGGGACACGTGTGCGTGGTTTGGGGTCACCCCTCTGCAGGGACTGAGCCCCCCGCAGCCCCCCCGCCTCTGGGGGACGACCCCCAGCACCCACCCGCTGCCTCTGTGGGCTGTGGAGGGACAACCGAGAGGTGGAACCCCCCCCAAGGAGGGGGAACCCCCAGGGCACCCGCTGCCTCTGTGGGCTGTGGAGGGACAACCGAGAGGTGGAACCCCCCCCAAGGAGGGGGAACCCCCAGGGCTGTGGGGCTGGTGGCCTGGGGGGCTGTGCAGGGGCTGTGGCAGATGGAGGGGTGGCCGAGGGACGCGTATCCCCGTGTCCCAGCTATGTCCCCCCCACCAGCTGCCACAGAGCAGCTGCCGCTCCGCCCAAGCCCCCAGCCCAAAACTGCGCTGGGGGCTTTGTCCCCTGCGTCCCCCCGCTGTCCCAGCCCCCCCCCCCGGCCTTTCTTGTCCCCAGCTGCCCGAGGGGATGGCGCTTTGTCCCCCCGGTTGGGCCCCGCGGGGCCGGTTCCCACTGCCCGAGCAGACAAAGAAGCGCTGGGAGGGCTGGGCACGGCCGGGAAAGGGCCGGGACGGGCACTGGGCCACGGCGGGGATGTGCCCGGGGAGCAGGGCACTGTGGCACGGCCAGGGATGGGGACAGTGTCCCTGAGGATGAGGACCGGGGCGTGGCTGGGGATGGGGACCGGAGCGTGACAAGGGATGGGGAACAGCAGGATGGATGTAGGGGACAGGGATCGGGGTGTGGCCGAGGATAACTCGGAGCCAGCGCAGTGGCCAGACAAGGGCTCGCTGGCGTCCCCGGCGATGGGGACCGGGGCGTGGTCCTGCCCGGTGTAACGAGAGCCACGGCCGGTGCGGGCTCAGCCCCGGGGCCGAGAGCAGGGCGGGAGCGGGGACGGGATCGTGAACAACAGCGGGATATGGGGGATGGGGACCGGGGGGGGATTGGGACCCGGGCGTGACCGGTGGCTCAGCCAAGACCGGCGACCGGACGCGGCAGGGACGGGGCCAAGGACACGGACGGGGCCCCGCCAGCGGCGGGCGGGAGGCAG